GATCTCGGAGCTCAAGAAGTACAGCAATATCAACTACACGGGCTTCCTCAAGATCGTCAAGAAGCACGATCGCAAGAGAGGCGACCGCTACAAGGTGCGCCCGATGATGCAGCTGAGCCTGTCGCAGCGGCCCTTCAACTCCGAGCAGGGCTACTCGCCATTGCTCAACAAGCTATCCATCATGTACTACGCTATCCGCCAACAACTTGACGAGGGCAGCGCCGATCAGCAGCCCTTGGACCTGGAAAGCCAAGGCGAGACGCATAACGGAGAGAGGTACACTGCCCACAAGTTCTGGGTGCATCCGGACAACCTGCTAGAGGTGAAGACGTACATCATGAGACGGCTTCCCGCGCTTGTCTACAGCGAACAGTCGGCCAGGGAACTCGACGGCTCCAGCGACCCTACGATTACGTCGCTCTACTTCGACAGCCCCAAGTTCGACCTCTATGGAAAGAAGGTGGAGCGCAAGGCCGAGGCCTCTTCACTGCGCGTGCGTTGGTACGGACAGTTGAGCTCCAAGCCTGACCTGTTCATCGAGCAAAAGATTGTCGGAGAGCAGGGATCCAGCGAGGAGCGCAAGTTCACGATCAAAGACAAGTACATCAAGCCGTTCATCGACGGAACATACAAGATGGAGAAGACGGTGCAAAAGATGGAGCGACAAGGCGTCCAGGCCGAGGAAATTGAAAACTTCAAAAACACCGTCCAGGCGCTTCAGGCTTTCGTTCAAGAGAACAAGCTCCAGCCCGTACTTCGCGCCAACTACGCCCGCACCGCCTTCCAGAAACCCGCTGACGACCGCGTCCGTATCTCGATCGACACCGAGGTTGCCTTCATTCGCGAGGACACCTTGGATTGCGATAGGCCTTGCCGTGACCCTTCCGAGTGGCACCGCACCGATATTGACGGTTCAAACGTGACCTATCCGTTCAAGGCCATCAACCAGAGCGAGGTCTCTCGCTTCCCCTACGCCATCCTGGAGATCAAGCTCAAGGAAGACCCCAACCGAAAGCGTCCTGCGTGGGTCGCGGATCTCATGGGTTCCCACTTGGTTCATCCCACTCCACGATTTTCCAAGTTCGTTCACGGTGTTGCCTCTCTCTTTGAAGACTACGTCAACAGCCTTCCTTTCTGGCTCAGCGATCTGGAAGCCGACATCCGCAAGGATCCTCAGAAGGCGTTCGAGGCTGAGGAGCAGCGTCGGGCCCAGCGCGCCGAGGATGAGCAGGCCGTCGGCAGCTTTTTGGGCAACAAAGTCAGTTCCTACAAGGTCTCCAAGAGCTCGCCGGCCGGCGCGTCCTATCTCGCCAACCGTATGGCGGCCGAGGCGAGCGCTCGCTCGAGGCAAGCGGGCACCACGGAGAACCAGCAAGCTGGCTCGAATCAGGAGAATGGTGACCAACAGCCGCGCAGCTATGGCACGCTGTCTTCCGTCCTCCCCGGTTTCTCCCTGTCCAAGTATTCCAAGGCTAAGAGAGCACAAAAGAATCAGGTGCAGCTGCCCGAAGGTGTTGTCGAGCCGGTTCAGTGGCTCAAGAACTCGGGCGAGCTCAAGATCGAGCCCAAGGTGTGGCTGGCCAACGAGCGCACGTTCCTCAAGTGGCAGCACATCTGCATCCTCTTGGGTGCATTGGCCGTCTCGCTGTACACCGCCGCTGGGGAGAACTTCCTCGCCGAGGTCATGGGTATTGCCTACATCTTGATCGCCGTTTTTGCCGGCATGTGGGGATACTTCATGATGCACAGCCGGAGAAAGATGATTATCGACCGCAGCGGAAAGGACTTTGATAACCTCGTCGGGCCGTTGATTATCAGCGTCGCGATGATGGCTGCGCTTGTGTTGAACTTTGTGTTCGCTGTAAGTTGACGCCGATCTTTGAACTGTGACAGAAAGCTAACGACATGTTAGTACCGCGGTGCTATGGAGAGGCTGAACGGGGAGAAGATGGCCTGGGAAATTATCAACGGCACCGGTGAGCCTATCCGCCAGGAGCTCATTTAAGTGACGAGAAACTCGACAAATGTAGATTGTGTGGGTGAACCCTATGTAGATGTCTCGCGTAGATTTCGTTTGGTGATCAACATGGCTTTGGGCCGGGTGCTGCATTGGCTCTTTTTTTGGTATAATGCGTGATACCTTAGTCGGAGGCGGATGTAGAAGCATCGTGTAAATGTTTATGGGATAGGACTGTGCATCAAAAAAATACATTTCCTTTGTCGGTCAAGTAGAACTATATTGCACCACACTGGCGACACGAGCTTCTGCTTTCGAAACTCTCGACTTCTCTCTGTTCAGGCTCTGTGGTTTTTGTACAAGTTTCCTAGCGTTACCGTGTACGATGACGATGGTGCGCAGGAAGTGTAGACCGGCCATATTTCGTCAAGCAGCGCGTCTCGCTATAGTCACATTAAGATAACGAGGATTGCCATGTTGCAAGCTTCGACTCCAGCTTCAAATATTGATGAGGTTCGGAGGATAGTCTCGATGGCGCTGTTTCGATGAATTCTGACTTGCTAGCTGAGTCCAAAGGCTTGGTTGAGAACATGTTTGGAAAGTTTGTTCCGTCTTTTTATCAAGGTAGATCATGCGCACTAGCGTCTGTTTCTGCTGTCCCTCTTCTCTGAGTCTTGTGTGATGGAAGAACGATGATAATTAAGGGACGCTTTGAAGCCGCCGTCGTCTATCGCACTTTTTCCTTGCCGCTTACTTAGAATCAATTGCAGAATGTGATGAGTGGTCCCTGACGACGGAGAGTATGCCTCGAAATACCTTAATCACAATCTTTGACGCTAGTTATACTCTTGTCTGTCTAGCTGCTACAAATTCTATGTGAAACTACTTTTTACTGGCTGATATACCCAAGTGAGCATTGTTCTACGTAAATGTCGAGTTAATAACAGCTGCATTATGTTATCCTTCATATCCAGTTCGACTTCTTTAAATGGACAGGACGACCAATGATATGAATACTAAAGTTCCCTCAGGTTCAGGCTATAATGGCAACACCAGCTCCAACAGCCATCAGCTGATGCATTCTTCTCCTGTCGACCTCCTTCTTCAGCATACAAATACAGCTTGCAACGATGAGGCATTCTACAGTGTCTTTGCCACCATTCTTCAAATCCGTCCACCTGAACAAGTCCATCATCAGCCGGCCCCCGTTGCCGGCCGTACTCCTTCCGGTCCCCGGCGTTCTTGTTTTCTCCCCGCGCACGAGCTGAGCGACGCGCGAAGCCTTCTCCTCTGTCTTCATCCCATTCGCAGGAATAGCCTGCTGGACAAGCTCACAGATGAGTAGCGTGTCCGCACCGTCGACAGCGGCGCGCTCTTTGCGGGAAGCGTAGCGCCATCGAAAAGTTCCGCATGGGGTTTTGAGGACCTGGGTGCGGGAGGTCAAGGATTTTGAGCGTATTTGGAGGTCCGAATCTTCCTCGCATATCTCTGTCACTGCTGCAGAGCCATGCAGTGACGAATTTTCATTTTGCAAGCGAAAGACTGGGGGCTTTCCTGGTCCGAAGCGGTAGAGCGTTGTACAAACGGGCATTTGAGCCGCATCGTCTCCCCGTATCAGGATACAGCTGTTGTCGCTGCGTGAGAAGCGGAGGGACCTATAGGCTGGCGTGGAGCAGTTCCAGCGCCCCTCCTCGACTCGGAAGACTGGGATGGGGTCTGGCCTTGTCCCTCTCGGCAAAGAAAGCCAATGCTTTCCCGAGGACTCGATCTGAAATTGCACTGTGGGTGTGAAGCGCTCGTCGGCTCGAGATGGAGAGCTGTCAGAGGAGAGAGAATCCGGGGTGTTTGGAGGAGGTCTGATGCTAGCATTGGGAAACGAACGGGCTGTGGCATCATCGTAGGTTGGCGGCGAGTTTGAGAGCCGTGTTCGCGGCGATAGCTCTGTCAGGTTCACGGCAGAAGAAGACGGCAGCTCTGTCGCTGAAGAGTACGACGGGAGGGACGATGTGCGCAAAACGGGTCGAGGTGTTTCGGTTAGCGTAGACATGGTTAACTTTGCTATTGAAGAGGTGGGAAATTTCAAATGACGATGTAATGTACTAGTATTGTTGGGTCTTTGAAAAGTTTTGGATGATAGACATGCAAAGCCTCTTGACACGAAGTTGTTCAGGACACGGGGAAGCACGCCTTAAATGAGCTGGCCTTTCTCTCCAAGGTATGCTTGATTTCAAAAGGTTGGCCTCCGTGAAGAAAGAACGAGAAATACGGTAAATGGCAGCGCCTCACAATCTGCAATCGTCCATCCGACATTGCCCATTCGCTTCCTCACCCACTTGGGGCAGGAAGCATATAGTGTCCCATGAGATTCCACGAGCGACCCCAGAGGCGCAGCTGCCTAGCCACCTCATCGTCCCAGCTTTGAGAGCTGAAAGTGGCAGGGAGAACTCTATGCGCCTTCCCGCCACGTGCTTGGTCACCAAGCGTATTGATCGTATGTCTTCCAATTGCCTCCTGGAACGCTGGCCAAATTGCAGAAAATCAAGCTTTTCTCCAGGTCGCCTTGGTCATCAGAAATTCAAACGTGAGATGGTTGGAGTCTCATTCTCCAGCGGCCCCACTTTCGGCCGTCGTATTGCTCGTTTTGCTCACTTCAGCCAATGAGAAGCCGGGCGTCCGGGCGGTGCGTCAAGATGATGGTGGAGGCGGTGCCGGGCCGGGTGGGGCCCATCCTGCCTCGGGTACCCGCACCGACGATTAGAGCGGTGATGAGGATCGGCGGTATTGTTGCCATGGTCCTGGAAGAACAAACCTTGTCTTGCTCACATGTCGTTTTCGCCGTGTGGGAACTTGAGTTTGCGTGATTGATCTACCCGTCTGCACGCGTGAGTGATCCAGTGGAGTTTGCAATCTTTGTAGGGCTGGCTTCTTACCGGCGAATTCGAGCACGTCTTGCGGGCTGCAAGCACACGAGAGGAGATGTAAGATTATAGCACCAAAGTTGTGATTACTATCCGTCATTGTATCTGAGGGAGCACCGGATCATTCATTCTATCTTTGTAAAGAAGAAGTGATCCCGACTCATCTGGTCCTCCACCCACACCGGCCACTGGTTGTATATGAGGTGCTCATGGTCTATCTGCCTGTTCAGATACCTCAGCCAGCGGACAATGCTGCCCGTGTCCTCAGGGTTGTCCGTCTCCTTCTTCGGCGGCGCTTTCTCGCGGCATTCATGCTCGGCCTTGGTAACCGACGCCATTACTAGCTGAGCGGCGATCCAGTGAGTAGCCAGGAGAACCATCGTCATGTTTGACATGTCGATGACCCGCTGGAACTTGTCATGTGGCAGCTGGATCCACCAGCCGTAGTGTTTCGAGATCATTCTGTACGCTTTTCGAGTTCCGCTCAGGTCAGCTTCTTATTCTTTTGGCGGACTCTTCAGTATCGGGGCAGATAGAGAGACTTTGCGGTACCTTCCCAGGATGATGTATGCATCTTGCACGCCAACTCGTATATGATATCATAGTACTGAATCTCAACATCGTCTCGGCACAGATGTCGTAACGCACCAATGGCTTCAACCGCACCGTCAGCCCACTCCTGCCGTATCAATGGAAGATTCACCATCTTCGGCTCCAAGACCGCCCGCGAATCTTGGTCAAGCATGTTGACGAAGACGGGCTTGATCCCTTTGCACATCATCTGCGCGCCGATGATGAGAATGCCTCTAATGAAGGTCATGAACTCGCCCATGCCATCCTCGAAGCTGGTCGACTGGAACGTCAGTGCAAAGCACGTGGCTACGAGCGCGTTGGCGTGCTCTGTGTTGGTCCCCTTGGTCGGAAGCTCGGCCAGAGACTTCTTGATTGCCTTGATGGCCTTGACACGATGTGCCATGGCGAAGGCCAACAGGCTCGGGTCTTGGGCCATTAGATCGCAGGCCGCCATGCCGAGGATGGCGTGCATTAAAAACTCGTGCTGTGGAGGCGTTAGTGAACGTGACAAATGCCTCGGGAGCGAGCAGGGTCGTACGCTTTGAGACAAGCATGGAATCTCGTGGGTCCAAATGTTCTCGTTGCCGATGGGGTGGTGCGGGTAGCACTGGAGCATGAAGTGCTGGAAGAACCTCATGTCCTGCAAGCTAAAGAGCGGAACTTGGTGGTGAGGCTGGAGAATATCATCAGCTGCCGTACTCGAAATATTGACGCCTGGCGTACCTGGTGTATGATGGTTGGCATGCTTGGATATTCGCACTTCAAACCGGTCTTGACACAATGACCACAAGATGGGCGCGTTTCTTGGCACTGCGGAAGCGGTCAGGCCAACCGGCCCCAGATAATTCAAAGACGGATGGAGTACCTTGATCCGCCTTCTTTTGCAGTTAAAGCATCCTCTTCGGCTCTTCGTATGTCCTCTTCGCTCAAGCCTCTGCTTCTGAACCGGTGCATTGGACGTGCTAATTTCGGGACGTGAGTTATTGGCAGCCACTGCCGAAGAGGCGCCCGTCGGGGGAGAGGCGGACAGCGTCTCACTAGAGTACGCGGCCCCGTCTCCGAGAAGCAGGTCCTCGTCCGTGAAGGCCGGCCCGAGGTCATACTCATTGAGACTGAAGACAGGTTGAATCGGGATGCCTTGGTGTGTGACGTCCATGTCCTCGTTGTTCTAACTTCGGGGGAGTTAGTGATGGATGTGTCGTCGTTTTCAAAGAGCCTGACAGCTAGAAACGAATCGCCGTGCTAGACGTTTTAAGAAGCTTGTTCCATCGCCTCAACGGCTCGTCGACAACGGGCTGACGCTGAACCCATCGCCTGAAAAGCACCCAAGAAAGCCAAGCACAGTCACGTGTGGTAGCGTCCAAGATTGTCATCGTGGCAGGGTGTCGGAGTGACTTTCAGCCCGCTACAGGTCTTAGATGCATCATTCCTAAGCGTTCATTGGCCCCTCCAGATCGTCACTCAGCTTTGGTGGCTGTCTTGTGGGGGCTGTGCGCAATGAAGCCTTTCAAGTTGCCTTGCGACAGAACCAGTGATATGGCTCGCTGCTCACCGAACGAGTCTTGGAAACGGCACATTGTGTGCGACCAAGCGGGCATCGTCGCGGCGGTGCAAATATCGTGAGGTTCCCTTCCGTGTAGGTACACGGAAGACCCGCTTCGGCATGCGCGTGCGCTCCGTAAGCGCCCCAGGGTCCGTAAAACCGCAGATGCAGCTGGATCGATAGCTCAGTGGTAGAGCGAGAGATTGCAGTTCCACGCAGTTATCTCTAGGCCCCGCGTTCGAACCGCGGTCGGTCCTTTCAGTTTTGCACTTCGATCCTGGTGATGCCCTTTTTTTTCTTTTGACGATTTTGGCTTGTGTAGTCAATCTCCTCACTTGAGTCGTAAGAAATGCAAGGTTTCATATTGTGTGCGTGGCCATGGCGCACCCGCTTAAATTTAAGCGTGTTTGTGCTCTGCCATAGGAGGTAAGTATTCACTTTGTGGGGTCGGTCTGTTCCAACACAGACTTGTACTCAGAATCAGTTAACCATACACGATCATGGTCTTATATCCCGAGGCTTGTAGAAGGGCCAGACGCTACTCCGGAATTATTGACATGCCATTGTTAGTTTTCGATGCGACGGATGCGAATTTAGGATAGCCTCGAAATAGCCTTAGCTAGAGCCGCCTTCCCCCTTGATGGAAATGGAAAGCTGTCCTTGCTGAACACTCACAAAGGGACTAGAAGGGCCGCCGAAGGTTGAGCAGAAGGACAACTCTAGCCTAGGCCTCAGCCATATTTTCGAGGGCTTGCAAAAGTCTCATTACCCTGATTGTTGGCGACGACGAAAGCAGCGGTGCGACGCAGCTGGTTTGCTCTCCCCAAACTCACCTGATCTCCCAGGACCCTGAAGTTGTACCGCGAGCCAACTCATTCCTTTCTTTGACTTCCGATTTAGTGGGGCCCGTTCTCTCGGCATCATGCTGCCGACAACGTCACTGGAGGACTCCTTAATAATTTCAGCATCCCATGCTATGGATGGCATCCTTTGTATCAGTAGATGAGATCGGATGATGGCTGCCGACTTCCGGTTTGCAGCGTCTGACACGTTGCGAACGCCCGCATCATAGCCACCGTAAGCCGGAGGGAGGCTGGTCCTGCAAGGGAAGACTTGAATAAATATAAATGCATGCAGCTGGGAGGAATTGTGTTCCATGCGGCAGTACGGCGAGGAAACGACGAGAATGACACTTTGAAGGAATGTCGGTATTTTAGGGTGTCTGCAGGCAACCTTCCCGTGCGGCGTGCAGCATGCAAGTAAGACAGCCTGTTTGGACAAGCGCAGATGACGGACACCAACCGACAGATTTCAGCCTAGAGAATGGAGAACAATACCAAGGCCTAAAGCCTATGATTGTAAGACATTGGCGCGGATGATTGCCTGCTTGGTTAGGGCGCTGTCAGGCAAGCCAGGTCACCTCGGGAATCAACAACGTGGAAAATGCCCTCAGCGTCGAACGAAAGTACTCGGTGTTTGAGTGCGGCAGCCGTTTGCGGCAAGAGGCACAGCTCGAGTGATTACGTACGCCGCGATGGTTGAACTACTGAACGGCGAAAAGCCTCTTGTTCCTCATAATGAACTGCGTTGCGCGGCCCAGGGCTCTGAGTCGTGCTTCCATCGACGTCGACTTCAGCCTTTATCAACCACAGTGACCCGAGCGTCCAGCCCGGTAGTAATTGGCCTGATCAAGAACAGCGGCCGGCATGGCAGTCCCGGATAATGGACCCGGGTGACATTCCGAGGCTCTAGCTTCGGCGTGGCGCAGTGGTGTCCAGGTTATCGCATCCCGGTACGCCCTGCTGGGGATTTGGGACGAGGTCGAACTCCCGTTGGACCACCAAGCTTTGGTTGATCCGGAGAGCTGGTCATCATCAGCTTCCTTTGACAGGGCAGCACGGCAGGCAGGGGAGGCACCGGGTCGGACTGGGCGAGGGATGTGGGCGGCTCTGGGCGCCGTGGAGAGAGGACCAGACAAAAGTGAGAGAGATGCCAGAATGGGCGCCAAGTTTCGGGGATAATCGATGGGATGTGGTCGACAACTGCCCCGTGGCGGCGGAAGCTCATCTCGCTTAGGGTTTCACAGCCGGCACCCTGGGGCTTGCGGGTTGGCCCTGCCGGAACTGACGTTGTCGGGGACTGGAAGAGTCGGCCGTGTCCAACTCCAAGTCGAGTCGCCCAAGTCCCGGGCAAGGGCTGGGACGTGGACGGGCTGGGCCTGGTCCCAGTCGATCCATCTGGTTCCACGTAACGTACTAAACGCAAAAGGGGATAGGCTCAAGAGAAAGAGGAAGACGACAACGTGGAGCCAACCCAAAGTGGTGAAACGGGTCCAAAGGGTGGGCCTGATCGTGCTCTCAGTGGCCTCGCATTCGTCCCATTTCCCTCGCAGATGGCATCAGTCTTGTCGGTTGCCCCAAGCGCGGGGCTGCCGTCCAATGTTGTCGTTTCTGTCATCCTTTGTTCATCCGATGCTGGCAGCTGCGGGACCGATACGAAAGCACACCAGGTTGTGTGCGTCGTAGGGCGGGCCCTTCAACCCGGGGCCAGGCCAGCTGAGCCGTTGAAGGCTTCGTCAGTGAGGATTGAGGGTCTCGCGTAATGGTCGAAGCCTCGAGGTAGGTGACTCGTCGACGATGAGGCTTCGCCTGGAGCCTGGCAAGGGACGAAGAGGCGGCAATGTCCGGAAACGGCGGTGGCTCTCGTCGTTTGTTTGCACACGTCTCCCTGGTGATGGCGCAGAAGGACCAAGATGGGTGAGGAGAGGGGAGGAGAGGGAGCGGAGCCAAGGCAATGGTGACGAGTCCAAGCAGCCAAGCAGAAGTTTGTTGGATGAGTGAGGAGGGAGGCGAAAACAGAGGGATTTCCGAGCAACTGCTGTGAGCAATAGCAGGACAACTAAGAAAGTGGTGGAGGCCGTTCGCCAGGATTTCACATGCAGACTTGCAGAGTCTTTTGCTGAGTATCCGTCCAGACCCAAGGTCAAGGCTCAATCAAGTTGCACTCAGCAACGGGCCTAAAAACAAACGTTAGGGTTGCAAGAACCTAATTAGTTGCGGAGATGCAGGTACAACGTACTAAGTCAAGCACCTCAGTGTAGCGCAGACGGGAAACAGACGGCCGAGAGTGCTGATGATGATTCTTACCTGCATCACGCTTACAACACGCACCGGCTCTGACATGTCTACCTACCATCGACTGCCACCTGTGCCTGTTGCCAGCCTGTGCGGTGCATCATGGTCTGGCAGCCGCCGACTGGACTTGGTGGGGACTACTGCATAGTACAGGGACGGTTGAGGGGATAAGCAAGGAACTGGCTGATTCAGACGACTTGTGGTGCAGGCTGCTGGCTCGTATCTTTTGGCGGACGACAAGGCCGAGGTGTACCTTGTCGAGTAGCTCTCACCGAGGTATCCTTGGCGCCCGGTGTTCCAAGGTTGCGCCGCGGTTCCGGTTCCTGCAGCATTTTGCCCCCCGTTCCTGCATAAGCCAGGGGTGAAAATGGCGCTTCTTGCTCGATTCGCCTCCTGGTTGGCCACTGAGGCTGACGGGAACGAGTTTTCGACCCTGCCAAGTTTTGCTTCTTTCCCCTCTTCTTGCTGCATGCGCCGGGCTCGTGCTGCCCTGGCGAGGGAAGCACGGAAGGAAGGAAGCATGTTGAGCACTTAGGTATGGAAGGATAAAGTATGGACGTGATGGATGGTGTGAAGGCACTCTGTAGGCGGCAATGTAAAACAAGCCAAAAAAGCGACTGTTTGTTTCTCCCTCGTTTGACGCCGAGCAGCCGTAATTAGCCCGGGGATCTGGATTATCGAAGACCAGTGAAACCGAGACTCCAACTATTAAGGAATAGAGGCAAATAGCCAAAGAAGAAAGGGATTGTTCATTGCCTGCCCCCTTCTGTTTCGGTATCCGTACATTTGGTTGGCCGTTGAAGGTGACTAGGACGCAGAATTCCAGCGAGTTATGTCACTGTGGGCTCCCGAGTGTTCGTCTGCACGGGGAACCTGCTATCTGTGATACCGTGATTCACCGCGGCAGTTTCTGAAGTCTCCGCTCTGGGCAGCAACTCCAATGCAACAGTCGAGGAAGCCCTGGGTAATCTTCTGTCATCAGGTCGTTGCGTCGGTACTTAGTACCTTGGTAGCAAGTGGCGTAAGCCACCTAAACATTACACGAAATTTTCTACACACGATTAGAG